TCTCTCATGAACATAGGTATAAAAATTCTAAACTATAGTTTAGCAAATTATATGTAACAATATAGTGAGAAGATAATACATCATGATCAAGTGTGATTTATCTCAAGAATGCACAGTTGGGCTAACATTAAAAAATTAACCAATGTAATCCACCATATTAACAGATTTTTTTTCTATTAACAGATTTAAAAAAGAAATGATATTAATATTTCAATTGTTGTAGAAAAAGCCTTGAAAAAACTCCAGTCTTTTCCTGATAAAGTCTCAGCAACCAAGGGATAGAAGGAACTTCCCTACCCTAGTAAAGAATATCTACAAAGCACCTTACAGCTAAAACATACTTAATGGTGAAAGACTGAATGTCCACTCTGGATTTCTAGTCAATGTCATCCCTAAAGTTCTAGGCAAGGTAAAAGGGCAAGGAAAAGTCAAACAAATAAATAATCCAGATTGGAAAAAAAGAAGAAAAACCTATTTCCATTTGAAGATGAGAAGATCATCTATGTAGAAAATCTGATTAAATCTGCAGAAAACCTAGTAGAACCAACAAATAGTTTAACAATGTTGCATGATGCAAGACTGATTTAAAAATATTAATTGCATTTATATGTACTAGGAAAGAGCAATATGAAGTTGAAAAAACCATATAATTTGAAATATGATCAAAATAATGAGATACGGATAAATCTGACAAAGATTTGTAAGACCTGTATGTCAAAAACTACAAACCCTCACTAAAAGAAACAAAAATAAGCCCTAAAAAGATGAAGAAAGTATAAATGCATAGAGGAAATTACACCACATTCAGTATTGTTAAGATATCAGTTCTCTCCAAATTAATCTTTAAAATCAAGGCAATCCCAATTCTAATCAGCAGCAGGCTGATTACCAGGCATTGTTTTTAAATTGACAAATTGATTCTAAGATTCATATGAAAATGGAAAGGACCTATAATACCTAAGACAACTATAAGAAGAATCAAGTTGGAGAAACTACCCTATGTGACTTCAATAATTACAGATTTAAAGACATCTGGAGAACACTTAGAGAACTAAAAATAGACCTGTTTGACCCTGCAATTCCTTTATTAGGTATATTCCCAGACAACCAAAAATCGCATTACAACAAAGATATTTGTATCAGAATGTTTATTGCAGCCCAATTCATAATTGCCAGGTCATGGAAGAAGCCCAAGTGC